GCCCAACTGATAATACATTGCTAGAAGTTCACACAGAACGCGATACTTTAATAATTCGCGCAACACTACGGTTGTGATTACAACTCGAACAAGCCCTACCACTCCAGAGGCAATAGTTAAGTGGAGGTTGAAACCAACCGAATAAGGCTTATCTACAACTTACTTCGTGACAGAATAGTCGCCGCGGAGTGGGATAGTGCCCGCACTCAGTGCAGAGTCATTAGCAGCACGCCACAAGCTGGTGTTCTCTCTCCCGTACTCTGGATTGCGGTTGTAAACGACCTTCTAGAGAAACTGGAAAAAGTGGGCTGTCGGGTGATCGCCTATGTAGATGATGTGAAACTTTTGGTTAAGGAACGATTTGATTTGATTTATTTGATTTGATTTATTTTATATGGTGATCCTAATACAAAAGTTATAAAACTTATGAGTAGCATTAGGTTTACAATTACATATTATGAATCATACGTTTAAATGATGAGTAGAAAAGAAAAAATAAAATAAAAATAGAAAAACAAAAGAAATACAAGTAATAATAATTACGACAATAAACAGAAATTAATTACCTTAATTACTGCAATATTACGCATAATATTTGTGTAGAGATTGTACGGTGAAAAATGTACGACTGAAACTACGGTTTAGTTTAGGCACTTATTGCCGTAATGTAACATTAATGCCTGGTTGAATGCCGCCGCACTACTTATGTGTTGTAATGACTGAGGTAGGGAGTTCCACTGACGTGTAGCATAAACGAAAAACTGTCTTTCGGACACTAAACTAGAGCATACTGGATGCAGAAGCTTTCTTCCACGACTTGAGCGGAGAAATTTTAATTTGTTGAATAAATTGTCTGGACTTTGTGTCACAATTATTTTGTGAAGAAGTAACAAGTTTCTGATGTTCAGGAAATCATCCAACGTGACACCGATTGGGACACACTATCCATGCGACCTAACCCAAATATATATCTGGATATATTATTGTAAAGCATATTAAGTTTTCTCTTGCTGGCAGAGTCACAGTTTGTAAAAATTTCACACCCGTATAAGAGAGTTGGAACTAAATAAGCTTTAGCTAAGAGCATTCTTATTTTAAGAGGCGTAAAACTTTGGGTTACCCATAGGGTTCGTAGCATGCCGAAAACTTTACCGACTGCTAGGCTTATGTGGTTCGTCCAAGTCAAGCTCGTGTTAAAAGTTACACCAAGGTTTTTGGCATGCAAAACATATTCAATGGCAACATTATTTACAAATACTTTAGGAAATGTGGATTAATCACAATTTTTTTGCTAATTACTAAACATTTTGATTTATTTGGATTCAATGACAAACAGTTTCTAACAGCCCATGAATTAATGGCGCCTAGATTTTTATTTAGCTTTGAGACACAGCCACTAATACTTGATACATCACAGCTTGCATAAATTTGGACGTCATCAGCATACATGTGGATATTACACTCGCTTACCACAGATGGCAATTCGTTTATATACAACGAGAATAGTAAGGGTCCTAGAATAGATCCCTGGGGTACACCACAATTAGTCTGTAGGGAATTCGACAGAATTCTATTGCATATACTGCTTGACTACGGCCAGTTAAATAAGACAAAATTAAATTTGCTGCAGAGGGGGAGAATTGGAAGTTGTCACGAAGTTTCCTGTGCAAAATGGAATGGTTGACAGTATCAAAGGCCTTTGAATGATCCAAAAGCACGAGAAACTCGATTTTCCCCGCATCAATATCGCCTCTTATGTCTTCGATAATCTCAGTCAGCGCAGTTATGCATCCACGTTGTTGTCGAAAGCCAGATTGCCTATCCGTGAGGAGATTATTACTTATCAAGTAATAATGCATTTGCTTATTTAGTATTGATTCAAATGCTTTTGAAATAAAGGAAAGTATGGAAATTGGCCTAAATTCTCCGTTAGATTTTAGTATTGGAATGATTTTTGCTCTCTTCCAACTATCAGGGTAGATTGATTTAGTTAAAATATTGTTGAAAACGTGAGTAAAGAAAGGAAGAAATTTCGGTAACAAAGTTTTCACAAAAACAAAGTGCATTTCATCCAAACCCACCGCCTTCGATTTTATCGCCAAAAAGGATTCTAACACATCTAGTTGGCTAACACAATTAAACGAGAAGGAATTATCTGGATTATGGATACTATTACTGTCAAGGAGAGTCCCAGTACTGGCGGAACAATTTTTAGCAAATTCTGCGTTTAGCTTATTCACGTCTTCTATAACCACTGCATGCGAATCAGCTTTTACTACACCCATATTCTTTATTTCACGCCATGTGCCTTTACTTCCTACAATACTTGAAAATTTTTTCTCATAAAAAAGCCGTTTGCTGTTCCCGATTTTTTTACCACTTTATTTCTGATTTTTCAAAACTGGTTGAAGAGCTCAGGTAGTCTGAATTTTTTCAACCTCCTGTACAAAATATCGCGTTTGTTAATTAACATTTTTATCTCACTATTGAACCAAGGACAATCGGTACGGATAGTCTTGTTTTTGGTTGGTACAAATTCTTGACATAAAGAATAAATATTGTTTTCTATGAAGTCGAGCTGAGTTCTAACGTCCTCCATGTAATAGATGCTTTCCAAATTTATGTTATTTAATTTCATATTAAGTAGATTACGGTCAATACGCTTAAAATCTTTATAGACTAACTGTTGAGTATAGGTAGTTACTTGAAAGTCATAAGAAATGAATATCAAATCATGCTTAGAGAAGACAGGAACTGATAGTTGATTGTATATTAAAGTTTTAGATTGTTCGCTTACGAAAAATAGATCTAAGAGAGTTTGGTTAGTTTTGGTAGAGTGTGTTGGCAGAGTGGAGTTTACCAAATTAAGACCCAGAGATTGCATTTCGTCCAAAAGTAGTTGTCAACAAGCATATTACAGTTAAAATCGCCTGCCAAGATTATATTCTTGAAGGGTAGGGTTAAAGACTGTAGCACCTCAATGAGGCTAGAGGTGTCAACATAGCGATTGGGTTTATATATATAGCCCAGCAACAACTTGTTTCAGTTATTTAGTATTTCAACGAACAAATATTCAACTAGACTATCTGGTGGTGACCTTTTAATAAATCTGAAGTTAATGCCTTCTCTTACATATACTGCCACACCGCCGGCGTGATTTATCCTATCCGCACAAACTACATTGTATCCCTTCAGGTTTATTAAATTGTTGGTGTGGTACGACTGAAACCAAGTTTCAGATACGCATACTACATCAACTAGTGAGCCCTCAAAGATATATTTGAACTCATTAATTTTACTCATTAAGCTTTGGGTATTAATGTGGCTTATATTTAAACCAGTTTTTTGTTTACATAGTATGCGTATCATATTGAAAGAGTTGTCTGTAGAACTCATACCCAAGTTATTTTGCATTCTCTTGACGTTCATAACTTAAAGAGAAACGTAGATTAAAAGATGGCGGCTTCAAGGCATCCGAGGGAATAAAGACCTTCAAATAAGGTGATAGAGAAAACAGTAAACCTGTACCGACAGCCTATGTAGTAGGTGGCAAGTAACTGCTGCAACAAATATCCCCACTCAAATTACCCCCACTCAAATTCCCCCAACACAAATGCCCATTTGTACCTCAACGATGTACCCAACATGTTGCGCAACATGTGTGAGAAGGCGCACTGCCAGGAATGACTCTGTGCGTACGTGTGCGTGTGTGTAGGTGCATATGCTAAGAAGTAGATTTGAATTATGAGTTTGTGTGCGTGGATTTGAGTGAAAGTTTGAGAAATGTTCCACACGCAAATGCACCGGGGCACGATCGCTTGGTCGGCTAACAGGAAGATTCAAATGGGAAAGTGTCTTTTAAGTGAAAAGAAGTGCAAGGGAAAGTTCCGCAAAAAGGAATAAAGCAAGTTGTGCCCCGTTTAACCGGGACCATTAATTCCCGCTGCAGATCCCGCTACCAGAAGGCTATCAAGCGGCAGGAGTACCAAGAGGACTCAAAAGCCTGAATTCTGGAGTTGAGCCTTTTTAACACCAAAGCGTCTAGTATATAGCCACGTATACAAGTTATATACAACCACTTATATATGTACATGTAAGACAAAAATCGCGGAACGACGAGAAATACATAGTTGAGGTCAACGACCGGGAATACGCAAAGTAAGAAACATCGAGATCAACACCAAGAGCCTAGAGAAACTTGAAACACTTCAAGAAAACATACATACATACATTCCAGAGCGCCGGACTCCGCGCGAGGAGCATCAGAAGGAGAGCTTCCAGGCGCTCATGTCACAGCACTCCGTCAATCGCTGTTGGCGGCCACTCTTATCACAATACACCACATTCAGTTTTCGTTTTATTGATTTTTCTTTCACCACACTTGCGTATTCCTTTCTTAAGTCCCATATGGTTCCACCTAATTTGCCATTATACTGACATAACCTCAAATCAAATTTCGCGCATGTTTGTAGCTAGCTGTTTTTATTTTTTTTATTTATTCTTTTGGTTTTAAGTAATTATGCATGTTTTCATGCCGCGTAAATAATCGAATTACTTTTAGTCCTTGATCGGAACCATCACCCCTAATACGTACACATATATATTTATATATATTTCGTACTTGCCACAATCCATAAATAATAATTTGATTTTTAGGTGTATACCTTGTTTTTGTTTTAAATCCCATTTGCCTTTATATTATAGATCCGTTTTTGGCGAATTCGTGAAAGAAAAAATGAAATGCAGTAGTCCGCTATTTTAATTTAACTAATTTTTTTACGTTTGATTTTATTTTTTTTATTAAAAGAGGTTCGGAGGTGGTTAAATGGCGTAGTCAAGAGTGCTGGCGACCGTCCCGGAGTGAATGAATGTCACAGCGCAATCACGACATTTACCCACCTATGAATGGTCCCACTCTAGTGTACCGCCTATACTCTTGCTAGGTATTGGAAGTTTTTTTTGTTATTCCATAATATTTCTTATTCCAGCCTCTCCCATCTCCTGTATGCAGGCGCCTACATCACATGCGAGATCGGTAAGTGCTAATACATAAGGTATGCTTACAAATGTACACTCATTCATACATACATACATACCTATGCCTATATGCACATGTATGTATGAATAGATAGAGAACAAGAGGTATTTTGAAACATTACTTACAAGCTGGGCGTAGTAAATATAGTGTGTAAAGTAATAGTATACATATATATACTTAGGTGTATATTTACATACTTATGTATCTTTCTTTTAAATTTTCGGTTCGTTTTGGATCTTTGAAATTTTTTTTTACCTGGACCTCATTTGACATTGCAAACGCGCCAAGCGTCCTATATGTTAGATAAATAGATATATACATAGCCATAGATAGGTAGGAGTGAATACTTGGATTTTGTAAGTTAAGGAAACCCTAGTTCTTAGTAATTAAAGTTGTGAATAAAGTTTAGCTTAGTTATAAACATTGATAGGCAGAAGTGAATACTTGGATTTTGTAAGTTAAGAAAAGAAAAAAGAAGAATGGAATTTGTGAATAACGTTTAGTTGTAGCTGCATTTATATATATATAAATAATAGACTATGTATAGTATATGGGCAAATCTAAAAAATAGGTACACTCTCCAAAAAAAAATTGTTATTTTTAAATTTGTGAGCACACCTATGTTTTATATATAATTTTATTCGTACTCTCTTAATGAATCGATTAATATAAGTGTTATTCATTTTCATCAAGTGCTTCAAAAGTTAGACGAGGAATAAACATGAAATAGAAAACAAAAGAATAAGCTGGGTTCAAATTGCGTTGTTCAAGTTGTAAAATTTGAGCAAAGAATTTGAAAGTTGAACTCACTTAATTGGAACGTTCTTAATTCAATGGCATCTCCCGTTTTACCAGATTGGCTCCGGTTTTCGAGATAACGGTATTTGAAGATTTGATTAAATTTTAACTATTTTATAAATTACTCCATCAGTTTTGAAGTTATTTTACTAAACTTTTGCACATAACGGTTTTTTAATATTACCTTAATTATTCCTTAAAATTATCGAAATGGTTGCACTTTAACGTATAGCTCCAATACAACTGATTACTCAGATATGTGTTTTTGCGCTATAACTCTAATTTCATATCTGAATAATAAATTGTATGCGTGCTATATGTTAAAGTGAACCTATACTAAATTTTTACATGCTTAATTGGAGGAGTTATAACGCAAAACAACGTCTCTGGTCAATCAGTTGTATGGGAGCTATATTTTAGAGTAAACCGATTTCGATGATTTTATGAGATGGTGAAGGAAATGTTAAAATACAAGCGGGTGCAAAATTGTAGTAAAATATCTTCAAAACGGAGGGAGTTTTTTTTATAAAATAGTTAAAATTTAAGCAAAGTTTCAAGTACCGCTATCTCCAAAACTGGAGACAATCGGGAAAAACTGGGGACGCGATTGAATTTAAAAGGCTCCAATTAAGTAAGAGCAACTATCAGAACCTTTGTCGAAAAAAATTTGATTTGATACCACGCTCGAAATATTCTGACTATAAGAAGGAAAATAATTAAAAGTACTAAATCGGCGTTTTCGCACACTTCTAGAGAACATTTTTTTGAAGCATTTTACAGGTATATACAACGTTATAAGGACTATTAGTTATAAAAATATTTAGATCGTTTCGACGTATTTTCCAAATGTGCCTTCAAATAAGATATTTTTTGAATAAAAATTACGCTCGAGATCGCAGAATATTTTATCTTTAAAACATGGTTTATTCTGAAAGCACACCTCTTGCTAAGTTGTCAGATTATTCGTAATTGTTTGTAGAATACGATACGTACTTAAAAAGTTCTTAAAATTAAATGCTTCAAAAACTATACGCGATAAACCGAAAATGTTGAAAATGGTGAAATGTGGAGTTACAGACTTTGAGTTACTTGCCATTTCGTTATTTTTTAATGCACACTTTTCTTACCTACTACATATGAAGTATACACATAAGTGCTAAATGCCCATTAAATTTCAAATGAGAATATGGTGTGGTTCAAAAGTTATGACATAATTAATTTTGCCCCTCTTAAAAATTACATAAAAAATTCACTTGTTTTCATTATTTTTTTAAATTTAAACACCTATGATTCAAAAGTTATGCAGCAAATTGATCCAAATCTTTTTTGAGGCTTCAAGTATAAGTCAATGAATTATATCCAAAAGCAACCAGCTTGATATAGTTTCCAACAGTGAAAATAAAGCTAAATAACACCAAGGTTACCTGTTTTTTAGATTTGCCCATATGCTTAGGAGGAAATATATGGATGTGATCAGGATTGAACGAGAAGTTATGGCTTGCTGATTCTTTATATTGGTGAGGGTGTTGCACTGGTGCAACAGGGGGGAAATGGGTGTCGACACTGATTGACGTTACTGACTTGGACATGACTTGTCAATAGACTTACGAACTAAGGTCAGGTTTAGGGGACTTTGCCAATTGTAGGAGTCACGGCAAAGTCCAAGGCTACAAGATCGTAGATGGGGTGGGCTGACTCCACCTGACTCGGACGGGCCTCTTCTATCTCTTTTATATTTCTATTCTCCCGGTTTTTCAGTGTATTTTCTCTAACAGCCATGATGACAAATTTTGTTTATGTCAGCTGCAAGTAAGGTGGTTGGAGGTGACCCCCCCCCCCCCAACCGACGAGCTAGCTCGGTATGCCAGCATGCCTGAATGCCAACCAACCTTACCCCAATAGCCAGCGACATAACAATGGCGCCCAACGGCAATTGCCCGAAACTCTTTTACATAACATTTTTTATCTACTTTCTGTATTTTTCTTTTTTTACTTTTATTTATGTACTCACACCTGTGTATATTGTAGGATTTGTATTCAACTTTGTAATTTTGAAATTTTAGATTTATGTGATTTTTGTGGCTCGTCAATCAAACAGAAAATTTTCATTATTATTCAAACTTTTCTCGAATTGTTAGCAACGTAAAATAAAATTAGTTTTGTTAACTTGTAATAATTAAATTTATTTAAAAATAAATACTTTTACAAAAACCTACATTTGGCGATCCTGCCAGGAGAACCAACACGTGCCACCATTAAATGATCGCTGCGGACTTTGATATCTCAATTCACAAATCAGACGCGCTGGTACACCATTTATGAGTGGTAGTTAACAGGGCGAGCACGAAAACGCGTAATTGCCGCACTTTACTTCGCTGCTCAAGGAGCAACATAAACGTTAAAAAATTGCATAAACAGCAACTAAAGAAGCTACCGACAAAAAACCAGCTAAGTCCAGAACTGCTACGGCTCGAAAAAGTTCTATTCACCGCCTTATTTCTCGACACTCTATCCCGTTGTTATTGAAGCTTGTCTGGAAGCAGAGTTACAAGCCACCAGCGCAAGCACCAAATCGGGCACAACTGCAAATGGCACAAGCGTTGCTGAAGTTGGAGCAAGTAGCGCAGGCGTTGGTGCAATTTCTACTCCACGCCCACCAGTCGGCGTAGGTTCGTCGACTGCAGCAGAAGTATGAGTCAACAGTAAGGGAACCTGGTATGATTTGGATGAATCATTGCTGAACAAAATCGAACCACTCGAAGTTAAGATAAAAAGCCGGCAGAAAAAGTTTTGACTTTATTGCTTTCAATTGCATTGGCGTGCCAGCCGCGGAAATTATCGCCAGTCCCAGCATTTTATTGGGTTAACAGGCGTCCCAACTTCAACCAGTACTACGAAACAGCAGCATTAGCATAAGCTGTAACATCAGCAGCAACAACAATAACAGCAGCATCAGCATCAGCTGCAACATCTACAGCAACAACCATCACCAGGTTCAATCTTCAAGCGACAAGAAGAGCATCACAGTAAGCATCAGAAAGTTATAATAGAAGTATTGGTTTTCAAAGCACCATCGGTCCACAGAAGCATCCAGTATTTAAACCTCCATCAATCAAATCATTTCGATAGATAAGTTGACGTAAATGTAGATTAGTTGTGTTAGATCTTACACTTTACAATTATTAAATAACTAACAGTTTGTAAAAATTGTAAACACTCCTTTTAGAGATTATTTGTGTGAAGTTATCATAATGTTTCGTTCACCCCCACATGATACACACACATCTACACGGACTAATAATTTAAATGACTCGCTTATAGATTTGCAAAACAACTCTTTTCAAGAGGAGTTGGCAAATCCTTATGCTAGTGAAAATAATAATGAGGTGTATGCAACCTCAGTCAAGCTTCCACAGTTTTGGACAAGTTGTCCAGAAGCTTGGTTTGTACATACAGAAATGCAATTTAACATGAAAAACATTACACAAGATACTACAAAATATGAACACACAATCACAGCGCTTCCGCAAGAAGTAATAGTTACAATATTAGATTTCATTCAGAATCCTCCGCATAACAACAAGTTTTCAGAATTAAAGAAAGTCTTAATTGAAAGGCATTCTTTAAGCGAAAATAAGAACTTAGATAAAATTTTGTCAGATTCAGAGATGGGTGATCGTAAACCCTCTGAATTTTATCGGTTGTTGTTGTTGTTGTAGCGGCTACAACAACCGCGCCCAGGACGGTTGGTATCTCAGTCGTTGTCGTCAAGTTCCACTAACGGCAACCCTAGGAAGCGTGCAGCTTCTGTGGGGTTTGTCCACAGGGACAAGGCCGTTAGGATTGTCGGGTTTTCCGGGCATGCGAAGAGATGTTTCGAGTCATGTGGGGTCTCTCCGCATGCCGGACACTCATTCGGCACATCCTCATTCAACCTACTCAAGTAGGAGTTCAACCTGCTGCAGTAGCCGGAGCGAAGTTTAGCGAGTGTTGTGCGTGTCTCCCGAGGCAGATGAAGCTCCGTCTCATCTATGTCCGGGGGTGGTATGCCTAGAACGGCATTCACAGGTCTAGAGTCTACATAACTCGAGACTGAGTGCCTGTGAATGCCGTTCAGGGCCTGTCTGTAAGCTGTCGGGTCCAGAGGTTGCTTAATGAACCTCTGGACTTCGTCCGTCAGTTCATATAGATGCCTCCTG